AAGCATTAGCAAATACGCTTTACAAGAACACAAACATCACTTCGACTTCACTACACTAACTTTCTTCAGTTTTTTTTAATAATAGGCTTGAATTAGATATAAGAAAAGCATTAGCAGATGTGTTTTACAAGAACACAAAATATAACTTTGACTTCACTGCACTATACACTATACTAAACTTTCTTGAAGATTTTTTTTTGTTTAATAATAGTTATAGATCAGACATCTAAAAAGCATTAGCAGGTGTGCTTTACAAGAACACCAAACTTTACCTTAATCTTACTACACTACACTAATTTTTTTTTTTTTAATAATAGTCTTGGACCTGACATTTGAAAAGTATTAGCAGGTATGCTTTACAAGAATACCAAACTTACTTTGAATTCACTATATTATGCTAATTTGCTTCAGAAGTTCTTTTTTTTTAACAATAATCTTGGATCAGATGTCAGGAAAGCATTAGCAAGTGCACCTTCTTAGGTTTGTTTTTGTTTAATTATAGTCACGGATCCAGACGTTTGAAAAGTATTAGCAGGTGTGTTTTACAAGAACACCAAACATCACCTTGATCTCACTGCACTATACTATTTTTTTTTTAATAATAGTTATGGACCTGATGTTTGAAAAGCATTAGCAGGTGTGCTTTATAAAAACACCAAACATTCACTTTGAATTTACTACATTATGCTAATTTTCTTTAGGGGTTTTTTTTAACAATAGTCTTGGATCAGACATCAGAAAAGCATTAGCAAGTGTGCTTTACAAGAACACAAAACATTATCTTGACTTTCACTGCACTACACTAACTTAGATTTTGTCTTTTTTTAATAATAGTCACGGATCAGACGTTTAAAAAGCATTAGCAGATGCTTTACAAAAATACCAAACATCACCTTGATCTTATTGTACTATATAAATTTTTTTTTTTTTAATAATAGTCATGAACAAGACTTTTAAAAAGCATTAGCAGGTATGCTTTACAAGAACACCAAACATCACTTTAAATTCACTACATTATACTAATTTTCATCAGGAGTTTTTTTTTTAACAATAGTCTTGGATCAGATATCAGGAAAGCATTAGCAAGTGCGCTTTCTTAGATTTTTTTTTGTTTAATAATAGTTACAGATCAGACGTCTGAAAAGCGTTAGCAGGCGTGCTTTACAAGAACACCAAACTTCACCTTGATCTCACTGCACTACACTATTTTTTTTTTTAATAATAGTTGTGGACCAGACATTTGAAAAGCATTAGCAAGTATGCTTTACAAGAACACCAAATATCCACTTTGAATTTACTATATTATGCTAATTTTCTTCAGGATTTTTTTTAACAATAGTCTTGAATCAGATGTCAGGAAAGCATTAGCAAGTACGCTTTACAAGAACACAAAACATTACCTTAACTTCACTGCACTACACTTAGGTTTTGTTTTTTTTAATAATAGTCACAGATCAGATATATGAAAAGCATTAGCAGATGTGCTTTACAAGAACACCAAACATCACCTTGATCTCACTATACTATACTAATTTTTTTTTTTTTTTAATAATAGTTGTGAACAAGATGTTAGTAGGGCGAAAAGGTGAGTTCTAGAACAGGATTCGGTAATGTATTCAAATTAAGCTCCCCACCTCTCCTACAAGCCTTTTCTAGATATTTAATCATATATCGAATTTAAGCTCTAAATTACGCTAGAGCCAAATCTCGTTAACTTATTCTCCTTACTCCTAAATTTGGGCTTCCAACATTAAAGAGTAAATAGTCTTTGTTAACAATCTGGCTAGGTTTTTAATCCCAAACAAGATAACAAAAAAAATATGCTATATGGCTTGCCCTTGAAACGAGCAGAGAGCACTGAGAACCGAAATATCCAAGTGTGCTTCTCTGCGAGCCCATTCAAGCCTAAAATGCATACTATTTTTAATATTATTCTAGAATTAATTCAAAAAGCGATTTAATACTATCTAGCAAGGGTCAAAAATTTTCATCTTTAGGTGAAAATTTTTGCATTGGGTGTAAAAAAATTTGGGCTAGGTGTAAATTTTTCAGATAGGTGTAAAAAAATTTAGGCTACGTGTAAATTTTTTGGACTAGGTATAAAGATCTAACCCTAACAATTTTTATAAAGTTGAAGCTTCCAAGCCTTTTTCTGAAGTCTATTAATATACTGGGTTATGTAATATCCACTAGCATGCTTTCTACAAAGGCCGGGCTCAGAGCTAGTTGGCATATTATATACTTTACAAGGAAGACGCTTCTTGGCTCTCCAATATTCATAGCACTCTTTGGGCCGGCCCACAAATGACCCCTGTTCTGAGCAAATAGTTGCAAATATATTCATCTACCATAATAACAAGAATAAATATTTTATTTTAAACAAAAGATTTCGTAGTATTAATACAAATCCCAAAGAAGCAACACCCAGGAGAAAATGATACCACCATGTTCACAATGTGGTAAAGATGACTTTAAAAAGACTTGTGATCGAAAAGCTCATCTTAAAAGAAAGTTTAAATACAAACCAAAACCTATTTCACAGATCAAAGACCAAGTGATTGTTCAAGATCTGGGAGCCAGTCCAGGCCTAGCAACCCAAGCATATAGAAAAAAATAACCTCACGGAATGATTTAGTATTTGTGAAAAAAAGTTATGACCTAGCCAGACCACATAAAAATCTCAAAAATATATCTGTATAGGAAGGAAAGATTCCAGCAGACAATAATCTAGCATATGCGTTTAATAAATAGCAAGACAATCAAACAGTATATGCAGATGCCCCATATATGCCACAACTCATGGCTTCAGCATGCAAAGAAATTACCAATATTCTTAAAGAAGAGCTTCACAAAAAGGATCAAATAAAAATATCATTAGTTATAGAGAGCATCTATATAAAATATAAATATAAAGGAGGCAATCCATCAGACAAAGCAAATTATGAAGCTAATTATGCTCATTCATATCATAGAGGAAAACAACATATTCTTCTTTCAGAAAATGATATAGATACATATTTAACTCAATCTGTAGGAGAAATTGATATACAAATTGAGAATCACTTAAAAAAGGAGTCCGGTAAAATTCTTCTTAGAATAGAAAATATATTTATTAAATCCTATACCTACCGTCGAACTAATGGAGGTTTCTATATTCCTACTCCCAAAAAGCTAGCCAATACAAAGTGTACCATCAATCCAAACAATCAAGAGCTAATTGATCTAGAAACAAATACTTTATCAGAAAAATGTCTTCAAAAAGCATTAGAAGCTTACTTTGCCTATCAAGATGGACATACAGAACATCTTAAACAAATCTTCTGAGCTACAAAACACAAGCCCTATTTAGATATCGTCAAGCTAGATGGAATTTCTATGTTTACACTAATCTGCTCATGTATATTTAATAAGATCAAGGAGATGAATCCTGATATCTCTATCAATGTCTGGGAATAGAAAGAAGAATCAACAACCTCCAAACTAGTAATAGCTAGCAAGAACTATAATAGACAACATATTATATATCTTATAGCTCTTACAGATATTACCAAATCTGAAGATGATAAATACGGGCAAAAAAACCATTTTCTTTGGATCAAAAACCCAAAAGGATTAGTATTTAAGAATAATAGAAAACATATTAAAAAACATCTTTGTAATCAGTGCTTTCATAGCTTTCAGTCAGAAAAATCTTTAATCTATTACCAAGAGCACTGTTTCAGTTTTGAGGAGGCTACTCAAAGAGTCACTTTATCTACCAAGGGTGTCAATGATTTTGAGAAGTTTAAAAATTATGATCAGATGATTAATGCTTCATGTGTAATTATAGCAGACTTCGAGGCAGACAACAAAAAATACAATGAAGAATATGGAGGACAAATGTGAAAACTTGCCGAGCAAAAAGCCAATAGCTTTTGCTATCTAGTTCATTAGTTTGATACTGGAGACAAATGGGGCCTTTCCTATACCAAGGAGAAAATGCTACACAAGAATTCATCCGAATAATTGATAAGGAGTTGGTCGAAATTAATAAAGTTTTAGCTATTAAGCATGACCGAATTGTGACAGAAAAAGATAAAAAAAAATTTGCCGAACGCCCAAAAGTATAGAAAACTTTTGGTTGTAAGACTCTAGGAGAGTATCATGATCTCTATCTTAAGATTGACGTACTTAGTCTGGCAGATATTTGGACCCAATTTCGAAAAACATGTATGCAATATTATGAGCTCGATTCTAGCCATTATGTATCTGCACCTGTACTAGCTTGGGACGCTATGCTTAAAATAACTGGAGTTAAAATCAAGCTCTTTACAGATATGGTTATGCATGATTTTATAGAAAAGGCTAAGCGTAGAGGAATAGCTATAGCCTGTAAGCACTATTTCAAAGCAAATAATCCTAAGATGAAGGTATTTAACCCATCTAAGCCTACAATATGGATTTCATATATCGATGTAAATAATCTTTATGGCTAGACTATGAGCCAGTATTTGCCTATAGGAAATTATCAATGGGAGGCAAGTCAGGAATATTTGCTTAAGAATCCTGAAATATAAAAGAAATATCTTAATAAGATTCTTAATATCGAATCAAATGCAAAAAAGGATATTATTAAATATTAAGGCGCACTTTTCTCTAAAAACCCATGACTATTTGAGTGATTTATCCACAGCCGTAGAGAATATGGCTGTAAGTAAAGATATGTTGTGCCCCTATACTACAGAGCTTGTAGATAACTTGGATGGGGGACAGTTTTTAGCAACAAAAAAATTAGTTCCACACCTTGGTCCATGAAAAGATTATGTTATCCATTACCAAGAACTCCAATATTACATAAAATTAGATATAATAGTTGATGAGGTTACAGAAATCTTATCTTTCAACCAAACTAACTGGCTCGTCCCTTATATAGCCTTTAATACAGAAAAGCAACAAGGCACTAAGAATGCTTTTGAGAAAGATTTCTTTAAGCTTATGAATAACTCAGTATATGGCAAAACTATAGAGAATATTTGTAAATATCAAGATGTCAAGCTCATGGCTGTGAACAATGATCAAGACGAAAAGAAGTTTATTAAGCAGATCCGTAAACTCTTTTTTAAATATGCCAGATAGCTTGAAAATATATTTGTAGGGGCACATATGGGAAAGGCTACTGTAACTCTCAACAAGCCTATTATTGTCGGAGCATTAGTTCTGGGTCTTAGTAAGCTCTTGATGTATTGCTTCTGATATGGGTATGTAAAAGAGAGATATGGTAATAAAGCCCAGCTCGGATATATGGACACAGACTCATTCATATTCAAAGTTGAAACTAAAGATATATATAAGGACATGGCTGAGCAACCAGACCTTTTTGATCTTAATGATTCTAAGACTATTGGGCCTTTTAAAGATAAGACTCCAGGCAACGTGATTATAGAATCTTATCATATTCGGGCTAAATCATATCACTATGTCTTAGCAGATAAGTCTACAAAGTCTAAGCATAAGAGGATTAGTAAAAAAGGTATAAATGAAATGGCCACGAATTCATACATGCTAGCTTTAGAAGGATCCTTGCTAGATGATCCAATAGATAGATCATTATTATCAGAACAAGAAGCCAATAATTTGGCTATGCGAACTGAGGCAGATCCTATGATCCTAGTATATCGGGACTGTCTATTTGGTAAAGAAGTATTTTATACCAAAAATGTAGGTATCTGGTCAAAGGATCATATATTATCTTTAGTCGAATCAGAAAAGAAGGCTCTTTGCTCTATAGATTCTAAGCACTGGATACTATCAGATGGAATTACCTTTTTGCCATATTTCCATTGGTGTAATAAAGCTTATAAGAATATGGTTAAGAATGGTATATCTAATGAAAAGGCCGAAAAAAAAGCTATAAGAGCCAAGCTTCCACAGAAGTATCAAAACAAATATATATCCCACATAGTCTATTTTCTCACAAGCTCGAAAATAGATATATAGTTAACCAATATATAGTAATCAAACTAGAAATTAACTACTTTTTTGGCTTCAAGCGAGTATTGCGAGAAGCTAGAGCTGTGACATTGAATATCACACTTCTTCCAATAAGATTTTTCTCACAAGCTTGAGTGAGAATCACGAAAAGGTAGGCCAAATACCAATTTAAAACATTTCTACTGCCTTCTCGCAATACTTGTAAGCCAGCTCAGCCAATTATAAATAGTTAAAATATATTTGTTATCAATATATTTTTTTTTATTCAAAAAATTTAACTAGATGCTGATCTAATTTAACAAGCTTGAATACCGTGTCCAGACTCTACCCAATATGAATACTGTGCCATATACTGCGCCCTGGTGATATGGTGTCCTACCTCAGCAATTAGTTTTTTTTAATATATTTAATATCTATATATATAATATTAAAAATGGTACATAAAATATATAAGCACCAAACAAGACTAAGTGAATATTATTCCCAGCATAAAAAGTTAAAAAAGATAGTAAAATCGTCCTGCCTTCTCGCAATACTTGCTCGAAGCCAAATATAGTTAGTTATCAGGTTTTTAATATATTAGTTAACTATATATCTTTTTTTGAGCTTGCAAAAAAAAAGCAGAACTGGATAGAAAATTATATAGAAGAGCAAACTGGTCTTAAGTTGGGCAAAAAACTATCAGATTCTGATTCAGATTCAGATTCGGACCTGCTTTTCTGTGATTTCCAATTAAGAGCTAAGAAAAAAAAGATCAAAGAGCAAGCTTAAAATAATAAATACCATCTGCCTTCTCGTAAAGCCTTACTTTAGAGTAAGGTCTTTTCGAATTCCCGACTTCTTTGATATTATAATCAAGGCCAGCTTGGCTACGTAATTGCTGAAGCTTTTTCTCTTGCTTTAAATACTTAGTTAGCAACTTCTCACTAAGATCATTAATTTCGGCCTTAGATCTAAGTGCAGAATATAGTTTTTTTAAGCTCCCATTTTCTCATTTCATTTGAAAAAAAAGATAGATAATTTGAAAATAAAATATATCTAGTCATTTTACTTTTTTTCAAGCTTGTGAGAAAAAACGAGATTTGCAGGGCAAAATATATTAATAAAAGATAACTATTTTTTTCGAAAATATATCGATAATACCGAAAATATATCGATAATATATTGATAATACCGAAAATATATCGATAATATATCGATAATACTGAAAATATATCGAAAATATACTGATAATTTTTCAAAAAATTTTTTGTTTATTTATAAAAAAATGCTTTAGTATTTATGTTCAGATGCCACTCCCTATCTATTGAAAATATTCAGGATATTATTAAAGCCAAAAATTCAATGAAGCGAGTACCAAAAGCTATGGCTAATAAATACAAAATTTCAATACAATGAGTATATCAAATTTGGAGAGGAGTTCATTCACCAATAGATTCACACTTTTTTCTTATAAATTCAGAAAAAAATTTGGATAACAAATCAATTCCCCCTCTCAACTTTGTCAAGGAAGATGGGATCAAAGATCAAGATGGTGAACCAATTCTGTCTGAGCCAGGCTTAGAAGGTTTAAATATTAGCCAAGAAGAACTAATTACATTTTACGAAAAAAAAGCTATTTGAGATAAAAAAATATAGCCAAATTTAAATGTATACTAGCTAAGTAAATGATCTAGCTCATTGTAAAATAATAAAAACTTCTCACATACATCGGTAAGAACCTCTTTAGCATTGAGAGTATCAAATAACATTTTTTCAAGTTCATCATAACTCATAGATTTTTTTTTTCCAAAGTTAGATTGATTTCTGGCCCGCCTTTTCTTTTCAAATTTATGAGAAAAGAGTGGGACTTATGAACTAAAAGAGGTATAGTAATTACCTTATCTTTATGTATTAACTTGAATTCACACTTAACAATGGGCTCCCATCCTGCTCGATCAAGCTAAGATGTACCTAATAATATCCAGGGCTTATCATCATCTATGCTTGGAAAGTCTTCAGAGATTGTATAACTATTTTCTCCCTGACCAACCGTAACCAAAATATTATAAGATATGCCTGAAGACTCTAAAGAATTGTTACGCCATTTAACAGATGGTTTTTTATTTTTATCAACTTCTGCTCCCAATAGTTTTATAAGGCCTTTTGAGATAACTGAGCAATTTGCTCTACTATTTATCATAGCAGAAGACACTTGTACGATTTTTCCTAATGGTGAGCTAATTTTGCAACATATAGTAATGACATCATTAGGAATAATTTTACGAATAAAATTAATTTCTATAGGGTTGGGCCATGAAATTTCTGCCTCTGATTGCGATCTCTCTAGGGCTATTTTGGGTGGTATATTTGTTTGCTAGAAAGCAATTCAAATTAGATCTGATATTGGTTGCAAGATTTGAGAGAATATTATAGTAATCTCATGCCGGAATTTTTCTTGTTCCTTGTCTGAGAAATTCAAAGTAAAATGATTTAGAACAGGATCTTTCAATGCAATGAATTCGATATTAATCATATTATAACTATTAATTGAGACTTCTTTAGGTTGTATACAAGTAAATGAATCAACCATTGACCGTAAAATAGCAAAAATTGCATTTAGGCTAATATTATCTGTAGAAATTTTAAGTGACCTGGTATCTTTACTACCCTTTTTATCAGAGACATTACTAGATTTTTTGCTAGAAGTTTTTAGTCTGGCACTTTTGCTTTTCTTTGATTTCTTGCTATCAGAAAAAGTTATTTTTTTTTTTATAGTATTGACTTCGTATTCTTTTGAATCACTTTCTGAATTACTAGACTCACTGGTCCCAGAGGAATCAGATTCTAATTCATTCTGTAAACATGCCAAGATATTGGTTTCAAGTTCATTTTCGCTAGATATTGTACTATTTTCGCTATCGCTAGAGTCTGAAGATGATTCATCTAAAATTATATGGGCATTAACACGCTTGGATGATTTCTTTTTTTGGGTCCTAGATTTTGATTTGGTTTTGCGACAAGAAGATTTGGGCTTGCTAGAAATCTTTTTATAGCTTTAGCGATTTTAGTCTGATTGATATAAAGATCTTCTAATTGCTTATGCATATCTTCTACAGGGTTGTTATTGGTAATTCCAACTTTCTTTATCACTGGTTTTGGGGGTAAATCAGGCTTGGAAATAGGAACAAATCCTGGAATCTCCTCTGTAAGCCGTTGTATAAATCTACCCATATTCGTATCATGTATAATTTGAGAAGTTCCTGGAGGTTGTGGCCTATAGTCAGATTGTGATAATTGAGAAGAAATAGGTTGAGTTTGTATAGATGGCATTATAGATTTTATTACGTTTTCGATTTTAGCTTTGGTCATACCCATATTGCTTGAATAATTGTCTTTTCTATAAGATTTATCCAATAATGCTGGACCCGAATATAAATAATCTCCAGATAATTGCTCTGTCTTATATCTTTCAATTTCTTCAAGTTCTGTGAGCAATTCAGATACGGGCCTGTTAATTACGATGTATCGAATTTCTAATTGATTATCAGAAGAAATACCATGAATAAATTGTAATCGAATTTGTTGTTCATCAATATCAGCTAGCCTAGCAAGTTTACATAACTTAGAATAGAATCGACCTACAGAATCACTGCTTTGGACCATTGAACCAAAGAGCATTCGCTGTTTTTCTGCAGTGACTGTGGGATAGTTAGTTTTAAGCCAGTATATTGCCTAGCCAAATCAGATTCTATCTGCTACTATAGTTTGTTCGGCATTAGTATTTGGCGTATTGGATAATCGATCTGTTGGATGCTTATCAGCAAAAAACCAATCTTCATCAAATACAGTATAAGCAGGAATAACAATATTTCTAGCCTGGCCTACAGCACCGTGTCTTAAATTCGCACCAAGTTGTACTGCTGTTCGTCCTTAAGCTAGAGCTAAAGTAGCCTGCCCGGTATTATCTAATAAATTTCTTAATTCCTAATTCTTTCGATGAAAAGATCTTTCATACCAGTCTTTAGCATTGCCTTTGAGACATGTTACAAAAAAACTATTTGCTCGAATTCTGTAAGCATGTCTGGCTAATATATTAATTCTTACGGCCACAAGATATGAGTGAAAAGAATCAATAAATTCTTTGGGATCCTCATCTGAATAGCCATTAAAATTTGGGGTGGGTATTCTGCCATTCCTATTCATTGAATATTTAGTAAATTATTTTGTAGTACAAAAATTTGTTAATTTAAATTATTAATTAATTGTTCAAAATTTTGGGTCCAAGTTTTCTATTTACACTATTTATTTTGTATAGTTTTGCATCTATTTTTCCATTTGTTATATCAGTTTGTTGTAAGATTTAAGAGATGTATAGTAATTGCCTTATTTGTCTTACAATCTTGTAGTTGCTGATAGGCTTTTCTATTTTTGAATCTTAATGCAAAGCTTTCTAGAAACAATTCTGATATTTAGCATTTTTGTGTGCAGATTGTAATTCAGCCATCTAGTTCTCAAGATTTAAATATATTATGCTATGTTCTGTGGGCCTCATAAGCCTGATGAAGAAGATCATAGTCATTTTGAAGCCTAGCTAACTAGATTTGTAAATCAGCAAACTGGGTCTGAGAATCAGCTAACTGCGTTTGCAAAGTTATTAGCTGGATCTGCAAATTCGTTACTCGATTTTCAGCGTTAATTGCTCGAGCATTTGCTCGTGGATATATTTGTAGCACCAATCTCTTAAACCTATTTCTGGCATCAGAAATTATATTAAGATAATCTTCAATGCTATTTATTGTAGGTGCTATTGTAATTGGACTCTGAAAATATTGTCTAATGTTATCAATCTCTCGCCAAATTCTATTATTTTGGATCGTGGCTTGATTTTCAGAAAGAGATAATGTTCGGGGGGATCCTAGTTGTTGATCTATTTCTATACTATCATTGGAATTTTTATACAAAACAAGTATTTTTTTATTAAGTTTGTCTATTTCATCCTGAAAAATTACTAACCACTTCTCTATATAATCAATATAATTTTCTTGATTTTTAGAATCTTCAATTACCTTTTCTAACTTTTCTTTAAGATTGGAAATTTTTAATCGCAATGGGTCTAGCTCCTTATTCTGAATTGAGATTTCTTTTTCAAGATAATTAATATAATCCTCTTTTGAGTCTAGATCCTGTTATAATTTGCAGACCCGGTTTTGTATTGCTAATAAATCACTTTTAAATTGTTTGATTCTATCACCTATTTTTTTTGAATTTATGAGAAAAAAAGAGGTATTGCAAGAAGGTGGTAGAAAAAAAGATGTTATCTATTCCTATTATTCATATAGATTCTGGAGAAAGTCAAAAACTTGATATATCTATTACCTTGCGTAAAATTTATTACTATCCTAATGGTTATCAAAGAACTGTGAAAAAATTGTATGAAGCCTCTCTAAAAGTTAGGTATAATTTTTTTATCGATAAAGTATGTAATTGGCTTAAAAAACAAGCTTTATATCAAATTCATAAACTCTGTCCAAGATTTATTCCTAGAGCCTCTTTTAATAGTATACAAATTCCTAATGAATATCACCAAGCGGATATTCTTTATATGCCCCATGATCAAATTAATAATATAACTTATAAATATTGCTTATGTATAGTAGATATGGCTTCAAGATTCAAGTGGGTGGTTCTTTTATCTGATAGATCAGCTTCTTCTGTGGTCAAGGCCTTTAAAGAAGTTTATAGTAATTCCAGGTATCCTCTTATTTGGCCTAAATTATTAATAGTCGATCCTGGCTCAGAATTTAAATCTGATTGTAAAGAATTAATAGAAAAATATAATATTAAAATTAAAGTTGGCACGTCTCATAGAAGCCAGGTATTGTCGAAAGATTTAATCGTACTTTAGCTGAAAAATTGTTTCATTTGCAAGATGCTTCTGATTTATTGTTACCTATATCTAAGAGATCGAGAGCTTGGGTTAAAAATCTTTATATAATTATTGATGACCTTAATAATTCAGTAACTAGATTAATTGGCATAACCCCAGCAAAAAATATAAAAATGAAACAGATTATTTTGATATCTTCCAAATTACGCAATGGGCCTATAGGATTTAATGAGTCTAAATTGGATTATAATACTTTGGTTAGATATTTACTTGAATCTGGTAAGTTAGAAATAGGTTCTAAAAAAGCAACTGACTATAATTGGTCTTCTTAGATTTATTATATTCATGAAACTTTGGTACAAAAAAATTATCCAATCTTGTATTGGCTAGAAGATAATAAGGGTAATGGGCCAAAGCAGTCTTTTGTTAGAGAAGAGCTTCAAATCATTTCTTCTGATACAGAATTGCCACCCCAGTGGGTGCTTACGAGTTAAAAATTTTATAATATAAAAAATGCTTGTGAAATGCTTCAAGTTGGTGTTCCTGGTATTTTATGAATTAAGAAAATCTTCTGCTTCTTTATCAACTTGGTTTTCTTATTCTTGTTATTATATTAGGCGAATATATTTGCAACTATTTGCTCAGAACGGGGGTCATTTGTGGGCGGACCTGTTGTCAGCTCGAAGGGTGCCATAAATATTGGAGAACCAAGAAGTGTCTTCCTTGTAAGGTATGTAATATGCCGACTAGCTTTGAGCCCGGTCTTTGTAAAAAGCATGCTAGTAGATATTACGTAACCCAGTATATTAATAGACTTCAGAAAAAGGCTTGGAAGCTTCAACTTTATAAAAATTGTTAGGGTTAGATCTTTATATCTAGTCCGAAAAATTTATATGTAGCCCAAATTTTTTTACACCTATCTGAAAAATTTACACCTAGCCCAAATTTTTTTACACCCAATACAAAAATTTTCACCTAAAGGTAAAAATTTTTGACCCTTGCTAGATAGTATTAAATCGCTTTTTGAATTAATTCTAGGATAACATTAGAAATAATATGCATTTTAGGCTTGAATGAGCTTACAGAGAAACACACTCGGATACTTCGGTCCTTGGTGCTCTCTGCTTGTTTTAAGGGCAAGCCATATAGTATATTGTTTTTGTTAACTTGTTTGGGATTAAAAACCTAGCCAGATTGTTAACAAAGACTATTTACTCCTTAATGTTGGAAGCCCAAATTTAGAGATAAGGAGAATAAGTTAACGAGATTTGGCTCTAGTGTAATTTAGAGCTTGAATTCGATATATGATTAAATATCTAGAAAAGGCTTGTAGGAGAGGTGGGGAGCTTAATTTGAATACATTACCGAATCCTGTCCTAAGACTCCCCTTTTCACCCTATTGATATTTGAAAAGCATTAGTAGATGCGTTTTACAAGAACACCAAACATTATTTTGAATTCACTACATTATGCTAATTTTTATCAAAAAGATTTTTTTTAATAGTTTTGGATCAGACACATTAGCAAGTGCGTTTTCTTAGGTTTTTTTTTTTTGGTTAATAATAGTTACAGATTAGCTTCTGAAAAGCATTAGCAGGTATGCTTTACAAGAACACCAAACATCACCTTTATCTCACTGCACTACACTAAATTTTTTTTTTAATAATAGTCTTGAACTGGACGTTTAAAAAAGCATTAGCAGGTGTGTTTTACAAGAATACCAATCTCACTTTGAATTCACTGCACTATGCTAACTTTCTTCAAGTATATTTTTTTAACAATAGTCGTAGATTAGACATCAGGAAAGCATTAGCAGATGCACTTTACAAGAATGCTAATCACTTTGATTTTACTGCACTATACTAATCTCCGTTTTTTTTTTAAAAAAAAATAATAGTCTTGGATTAGATGTCAGAAAAGCATTAGCAGGCACACTTTATAAGAATACCAAAAACATCTCTTTGACTTTGTTGCATTAGCTAGCTATAATAATCAAAACAGATGTTAGAAAAGTATTAAAAAATGTATTTTGTGAGAATGCCAAACATCATTTACGAAGTGTGTAGAATTGGGTTTGATTTAGTGTTAGGTTTATAAATAGAATTGGGTTTAGGGTTAGAAATGGTTTTTTAGTTAGAAATAGAGTTAGTCAGATTTAGAATTAGAATAGGATTGGGTCTTGGTTGAAGGTATATTAAACTATGTGATATGTGATTAAGTTGTGAATATATATTTATATAATATAATATAAATTTTATTTAAGTTTGTTAATTTTGGTTTTACATTATTATTAATTGATAGGTTTTTAAACTTAACTAGCGGGTAGATTCTAAACTGGTGAGTAGGTTCTAAACTAGCAAGATTTTAAAAATACATATATAAGACTATTCTAAGCTATAAAATAAAATGCTATTGCTATTGAAACGGTTGATATTATTGGATAGTGAAAGATCAGATTAGTTTTTGAATGGTTGATATAGTGGGAAGTAGATTTTTATAAAATAGTCAGTTTAACTCAATAATAAAACAAAAATAACACTCGGATAAGTTATTAGTATATATAATGTTATCTATACAGTGTTGAACAAAAACTTCATAAACTAATGCCAATTACCTTACCATAAAACTTTGTCTAAAGTATCCAAAATACTTTACATTCTATGTATTTGAGACAGAGAGACTTCTCTAAATGCATACAATAGGGTCCGAACTTCTAAAAACATGCATTTAGAGAACAATATGAAAACATGCATTTATAGAAAACAAG